CTTTCAGGATATTGAAGCTATTCCACCCTAATTGTGACTCCTTTGAATGTAAGTTTTCTCTTCAATCTGGCTGCCTTAAAAAAAAAAAAATTTAACTTCTTTTATGAAAAATTTAAAACATACTCAAAATTAGAAAGAATTGTCTAATGAATACTCTTGCTCCCACAGCCCAGCTTCAACAGTCATCAACATTTTGCAATTTTTGTGTCATCCATTTCCACATATGCAGACACTTATGCACTGGTTTTATTTTATTTTACTTTTTGGTGGAGTATTTTAGAGCAAATATAAAAGATCATATCATATTTTCTTATCTGTAAACACTTCAGTATGCATATCTAGTGATAAGAACTTTGTAAAGACAAACACTAGGCTGCTATGGTCTGAATGTGCATGCTCCCCCAAAATTCATAGGTTGAATCCTAATCATCAATGTAATGATATTAGGAAGTGGGGCCATTGGCAGGTGATTGGATCATAAGGAAGCTTAGGGATTAGTGAATGGGACTGGTGCCCTTAGAAAGGAGGCCTCAGAGAGCTTCCTTGTCTCTCCCACCACATAAGGACACCACAAGGCCAACTATGAACCAGGAACCCAAGAACCTGTGTCACAAGACACTGAATCTACCAGCACCTTGATCTTGGACGTCCCAGCCTCCAGAACCATGAGAAATAAACTTCTGTTGTTTGCAAGCTACCCAATGACAAATGGTATTTTGTTACAACAGCACAAACAGACTGAGACAGACACATGCCATTGCCACTACCAGTACAATTAACAAGAACACCTTAATATTTTCAACATACATCCTCTGTTCAAATGTCCTACTTGTCTCAAAAGTGTTTCTCACAGTTGGTTTGCAGAAATCAGGATCCAGACAAGTCCCCATTTTGCTATTTCTCTCATTACTATTTTATTACAAGCAGCCCTTTCTTCCTTTTTTTTAAAACCTTGCTATTGATTTGTCAGAAAAAAACAGACAATTTTCCAGAATGACCTACATTCTGATTTGGCTTTCTCAAGTTGTTGATTAATTTCTTCATAAATCTATGAACCGGCAGTCAGAACTAGAGATTTGACTAGATTCAAGTTCAATATATTTTAAGCAAGTTTATTTCCTCAGTGGATTCATGATAAATAAAATGTTTGGTTTTCCTTCTTTTAGTGATGCTAAAATTGATCAATGGGCTCCAGTGGTGTCATCTGATATCTCCAACAAAAAGTTTCCCCTAACCTTTCACCCAAGGTTTTGATGTCACTGAGGACCGTTGCCTAGATCTATTACTTCATTACAGGCTGAAAAATGGTGGGTTTTTTTTTTTATTATTTCTTTTTATTCCTTCTGCATCTATTAGCTGCAAATCTTCTAAAAATCTTTCCTTCATCAACTGTTTAATTACCCTGAAAGTGTAGTTTATACAAGAAAAAAAAGATAGTTGCTTGATTTTTCTTTCCTTTTATTAATTTTCAAGATAGAGAGTTGGTGCCCAAATAATCTCCCAAAGTAGTTGACCTATGGAGCCTTTTCATAAGGATTCCTGTATCTTTTTTAAAAAATAAATTTTATTGAGCTATAATTAAATTTACCAGTTTTAAATACTTTTTAAGGTAGTGTAAGTTTTTCAACTTTGTTCTTTTTTAATGTCGTTTTGACTATTTTAAATATTTTTAGTTTAATATGAATTTTAGGATAACCTTGTAAATTTCTATAAAACAAAAATCCTGATGGAGTTTTGGTTAGCATTGGGTGAAATCTAGATGTTGGTTTAGGAACAAATGACATCTTTATAATATTGTTCTGATTCATGAACATAGTATATCACTCCATTTATTTACTTCTACTTTAAATTATATCAGCAGTGCTTTGTACTCTTCAATACCCAGGTCTCATACATCAAATATATCCTCACTTCTTTTATACCTTTATAATAATGTTGTAAATGATACTGTTTTCTTAATTTCAATTTCCGCCCTTCATTTCTAGTATATAGAAATGTAATTTGGTTTTGTGGGTTGATCTTATATCCTGGAGCTTGACTAAACTCACTCATTCTAATCAATCCTTGGAGATTGTGTAGGATTGTCTATATAAACAGGTTATCTTCAAATTAAGAGTGATAATGCTAGAATTTAAATGTTTACATCCCCTCCAAAATTCATGCGGAAACTTAATTGCCAAATGTAACAGTATTAAGAGGTGGAGCCTTTGGGAGGTGACTGAGTCATGAGAGTGGAGTCCTTGTGAATAGAATTAGGTATTCTTATAAAATGACTTGATGGACAAAGTATGTCCCTTTTATGCCCTTTTTTGCCCTTCCACTTTCTGCCTTGTAAGGCAGCAGTGTTTCACTGATCATTTTTCTTTAGGAACTTTAAAAATCTTATTCCACCATCTTCCATCTTGTATCATTTTTTTACAAGAAGTCTGCTGTAATTCTTATCTGTGTTCCTCGGCATGCAATGTATCTTCTTTATCACTTGGCTGTTTTTAAGATTCTCTCTTTATTACCTTTTAAAGTAATTTTATTTTATATACCTTACAGTAACTTCATTCATATTTGTTTTGCTTGAGTTTTATTAAGCTTCTTAGATCTGCACTCTGTTCCCTGATAGTATTAGCTGCCTTGGCCTTTCTGAGCTTCCAACTTTGTCTCCTCAACTCAGGAATCCCTAAATCCCTCTCTGGTTGCCACCTCCTTGTGCTGTGGCCTGGAAATTCTATCCAGGAAGTAAGCTGTGGCAATAGTGAGGATTCCCTGGTTTGTTTCCTCTCTCTCAGGGCTAACCATCCTATCTGCCTGATGTCCAATTAAAAGAAAAAATTATTCATAAATTTTTTCTGCTTTGTAAATTGTTTCATGTAAAAGAATAAATCTAGTCCCTGTTACTCTATCTTTGCTGAAAATCAGGAACTAACTTTTATTGGCCATCTTCCATGCACCAAACACTTCACATTGATTCTTTCATTCAATTCAATCAGAACTCCTATGATAAAGATACTACGAACTTATTTTACAGATGGAGAAACCAGGGGATAGGATAGAATTAATGACTAATGTCATTCATTCCCATTAAATGACAGAATAAATATTCGATCCCAGAAGGTTTTTGACTACAAATGGATGCTACCTCCATATAAAACAGAAAGAATTATGTAAAAGTATATTAATGTGCATAAATAAAATATATTATGTAAAATTCATTTTAATCACTTTGCTGAATAGTATAAACTTTATATTTCCCTGGTGTTGGTAGCAGGACATAATCTGGGAATGACAGTCTTACATTCCGAGTCACGATCTTCATTGATTTTTCTTTCTTGTTCCTTAGTAATATCCTAGGCAGATTCCACACATTTCAGTTCATTCTGAAATTCCAATTGTATATACAATTTAAATCCTTCCTCACTAGACTCCAAGTGATTTAGAGAGGGAGATGGAGGATTATCACTCTATCATTCTTCCTTCTCCAACCCACTGGGATGTAACAAAGAGCCTGATTTCTTTATATATACTTCCTCTCCTCATCTCTTAAATACTAACCACACTGAAATTGTGGGCTAGGAGAGGAGTCGGGGAGACAGAGTTCTTCCTAAATAACTGCTGCATTGGTGATGCTAAGGCATTACTGGTATTTCCCTGTCTATTCTTGTTCCATGTGCTTCTGATGTCCTCCATTTTTAAGATGTGTGGTTTTGGTGAACTAATTCACCTTCACTTAGATCCCTCCTGTCTCTGCCTTCCTCTGGCCCTGCCTGTGGTTCCATTTCCTCTCCAAGTGCAGCACTGCCTTCCAAGAAGAGCAATGCCATGGCAATGCCACAGTTTCTGTTCCCTCATATAGTCCCTGTGCTCCTTTACAGGGATCTAGGTCTTTTTTTGACACCATCAAAGGGCTGAGGGTAAGTTGGTTGGGTTTTGCCACCATTCTCTTCCCAGGCACACCACATTAAGGCTCCTTCTTGCCCTTCAGCCATGGATTATTTCTGCAAGCCTCTCCTCTTCAGCTCTCTCTCAAAATGGCATGCATGAACCTAGCTTTTCTAAGAAATACCTCCCTATCATCAGCTCTAGTGGCAACAAAGGGATGGAACAGGGGCTGCTCTGTTGTTCTGTATTTCTACAAACCACTAGCTGGTGGATGTGGTCCCAGTCTCTCCTTGTGTGTGTGTGGCACCCCATTCTCTATGATGATTTTCTTGGAACCCCACTTTATTCATTTAAATTCTGGAGGTAAGAGAATTACCTCATGGGAAAAGATGGGAAAGGAATTGCGTCCCACTGAGAGAAAGAATAGCATGGCTCTCCCCCTCCCTCTCCCCAGTAATCTCCTTACAATAGTTGATTGGCTGAGTGATGATTGTGGGTATAGGGCCTGTTTAGCTGCCTCTCATCAAATTCTGGGAGGATTATCAGGCTCCACTTTGGACTGTGGCTTTCTTTGGACTGTGGCATATTAGTGCCTCTTATTTTCAGATGGAGCCCCAGGGCAACATGAAAAGTCCCACTCAATATCTTGTTATATAACCAATACTTCAACTTAGCCTTCTACTGCAGCTGTTCAAAATACAAGCACAAAAGTGATTTAATTTTTACTCTGCCTAGTGCTGTTTATACCACTTTGAATATCTTGATTAGCACTGAAGTGTACTGAACATGGATAGAAGCTTGAGGAAAGTCAGTATGGTGTGCAACAGTGCAAAATAAACAAATCAACTGCTCTCCTGAACAATATGTGCTCAATCACAACAACAACAACAAAGAAAAACAAGGTGCTTTCTTTTGGGGCCTGGCCTGGTTTCTAAGAAGTAGAAATGGGGCCAGGGAAGGGGAAGCATAGCAAAAGAGGAAGGAAAGAAGGAGAAGAAGAAAGAAAGGGAGTGAGATTGAGAACACAGTAAGACACTCTTTGCTTTCATTCCTGGCTCCCATGGACACAGCCCAGAAGGAGCACTGTGGGCCCTTCTAGGGACAGGCTAGAAGCTGGCAGGCTTCCTTTACTCGCAGAGCTATTTAGAGCTCTGGCCTCTCCACCGGGGATTGGTGCCCGTGGCCCAGGGAGCTAGCATTCCTGAGCAGGGGAGGTGAGGAGGGAAAAGGAGAGCTTTCAAGTGTTTTCAACAATCGCCCCCACAGCCCTCTCCAATGGTTTCCCTCCCTCCCTCCTCCCTAACACCAGACTCCTAAGTTTACTGAAGGAAAACAAGCTCGTTAATCCAGATCCAGCCTGACATAGCAAAAGAAACAAACCACAGTCTCATGGTGATAACTCTCGATTTGTAGGTAAGTTCTACTCACCCTGTTCTTTCATAAAAGTCTAGCCTACATATTAGACTCTAAAACAAGCTGCCTTAAAGTGTATTTCTTTCTTATGTCCTGACCTTATTCTCCTTTTTATGGCTAAGCGTTTTCCTGTATTATTACCACTGAAGCTTTATTGATAGCAATCTATTTATATCCTGAGCACATACTGTGCTATTAGCCTTGAGATAAATATTAAGAAGGACTCAAAGGAGAGAAAAGATGTGTCTCTGCCTAATAGTGCTGTTTGGAGGTGAATGAAGTTGGTTTGGGCTTGGACAGCTGGGCATGTGGAAAGTGAAGAGGACCTAAAGTCTGAGAAGATGGGTGAGGATGGAAAGAGGACCTTATGCCCAATCCAAGTGCCTTCCTCAGTGCTGCCCAGACTAACTCACTCTGGACACTGTTCTATTTTGTAATCAGTACACCCTGCTCTTCCCACTCTTTGAGATATTGATCGTTCAGATTTGGCATGAGTTATTAGTCCCCGAAGTCATGAATCTGAAAGCCCTTTGAGAGTGGGAACTGTGTTTCATTCACCACTACCCTCAGTTTTTAGAATAATATCTGGTGCATGGTAGGAATACAAGGGGTATGAACTCATCTCATGTATATTTGAATTAATGAACCTAGAGGCTCCAGAATAACTGTACCCTAAGCCCCCAAATCCTCCCCATACCTCTGAGCAGGCTCTTTGGAAGCCTTTAAGAAATAGTAAAAGGGACTTTTCTTATTGGGTAAATAACACGTTGTATATACAGGGTGCTTTTATTTATTTTTTTTTCCAAAAAGTTGTTCACATACTTCTCACTTGAGCTCTATTGCATTCTGACTGGGGGCTGTGTTGGTGACACATTGTCTATCCTATTTTATATGCCAGGAGTCTGAGGCTCAGAGGAATGACTACTCCCAATCCTTCTATGTCACTCTGGAAACTCATTTTACTATAGGTCAAAATTTCCCAATAGCGTGACTTTATCTGACCAGGCAGCTGTGGTTTCAGAAATACACAGGTTTCAGACACTGACCTCTGACTAAAAGCCAGGGGTCAGCATCCTGGTCTTGCATTATCAGGTTAGTCGTGGTGCCTGGGAGAATCCTGCTGTATTGTCTCTAGATCATGAAGAGGATGGAGAGGCACATGGTCAGAGGACCACTGTATAAGCACTTTGATTTGGAGAGGAAGAACGCCAAGCAGGCTGAAGCCAGACTGAGCCAAAGACTGCAGAGACTAGAGGATATCCGCCTCTACCATATGAAATTGCTGACCCGGGAGCAGAGGCAGCTCCAAAAAGACCTGCAGAGGCTGCAGCAAGGTAAGGCTTGCGGGACTGGCGGGCAGTAGCTCTGGAGGCAAAGCAGGGCAGCAAGCCCATCACTCAAGCTGGGCCCTTTCAGAACCCTGGGTGCCAAGAAAGCAGAAACTTCAGATCTCAGTCTGGAAGGCAGGCTGCCCAACCTGCCTCATCCCTCCTCCTCAATTACACAGCTGCCTGGGGCAGCCCACTCACAACCCTTCTTGAGACAGCACTTCTCAGGCCTCCAGTCATGGCCACTTTTCAAATGAGCCCTTTCTTGTTTAAATCCTTAGTTTTCCACTTTATTATTTTATATTTTTCATTCTGCTTTTCTTTTACTATGTCTGGGATGATTGGGTCCCACCCTTCTTTATGGCTGATCTTTCTCCTTTGGCCCTAACGACAATTTATTGAGCCGCTAACATTGTGTAAGCCACCGTCCTTCCTAGCTTGCTTCATGGAAGGCAAGTTACAAAAGAAAGAAAGAAACGTCTCTGGGATTAGTATTTCTGTTTCCTCAAATATAAAATGGAAATGATATTACCTGCCTCATGAAGTTATTTCAGTGAGCACTTGGGATAGTAGCTAAACACAAAATAAGTGTTAAATAAGTCTTCACTCATCCATTAATTAAAAACAGTTACAGAATTGAAACCTTTCTACTCTCTTGTTGAAAACTGTCCCAGTTATAGTTTGTAGAAACCAGTTCTTCTTAGTTCATCATTAAAATGATTAGATTTTAATATTACTTCATAATTTGGTATGGAATAAAAATATCTCAACTCTTCTAGACTACACCCCTTCTTATTAAAGGCAGGTGCCAGAACTCAGGAGCTCTGAAAATGATGGAACATGGCCAGAAGGATGAATGTAAAATCTTTCAGGTCTACACAGCTGATATATGGACATAAAAGCTAAGAGTAATATCCAAACGTCTAGCCTGGGAATTATTTCTAACCTCCAGCTGTGGGTTTGAAATATGACTCTGAACAAGAAACTGAACTTGTCTGCTTTCAATTTCCCTGTCTACAAAAAATGGTTAAACCAACCTAGAATGAGAGCTCACCTACTAGAAAAGGATATTGGAAGCCATTTGGTTGATTCACACTTTAATTCTCAAAAATGACACTGAATGCCAGATGCCTACTCTCAGGAAGATGTACAAAAGGTCAGGCCTTAGGTAAGTGGATGATGTCCTTGTTGAGTAAAGAGTTTGCCTCAACCGCAGGTGGTATGAAAAGAGGCAGGCAGAAAAACTTTGACTCAGGGGCCTTTGTCTTTATACACTTCGGAAAGTTGTACCCTCTCTAAGCCTCAGACTTCTTAACAGTAAAATTGGGAGAAAAGGAAGGAAGGAAACAATAAGTACTGAGTGTCATTATATATTAGGCACTGTGCTCAGCAATATTTTTCTGTGTTTTCATTTAATGAAATTATTATTGAGATTCAATGACATGCTGGTTAGTGGATTGTTCACGATGCATGTTGCCTATTCTCACTTTAGAGATTTGGATGGGTAGTTACAAACTAGGCTCAAAAGCCCACATTTTTAACTGAGATTATAACTAAGTTAGATTATTCTGAGATAGGTGTTTTTGCAGACTAGACTTTGCAAAACACTGTCACCTCTATTCAAGATAGAGGTTGGAATGCAAATATGAAAAAGCATGCCCTCTACCCTTTAGATCAGGCGTCCTCAAACTACGGCCACCTAGCACATTTATCCAGCCCTCCAAGTGTGTTTGCCACCACTGCCTGTCCTCCTTAGCAGCTGACTCGTCCCGGGCCCACAGTGCGCACTCTCCAACGTTCTCAGAAACAGTGAACTGGCCCCCTGTTTAAAAAGTTTGAGGACCCCTGCTCTGGATGCTCATATTTGAATTGGAGGGTAGCCCCGCTTACAAAAAATTATGATCAAAACTGCTAATTGCTAGATTCGAGCTATTTACAAAACAAGGCAGGAGCACAGGAATGTTAGTATGTCTTTCAAAGGACCTTACCTAAGATCTCCCAAAAGAGGCAGTGTGTGAGCAGAATCTTAGAAGAAGGAGAGAATAGGGAGAAGGTATAGGGAGTTGTCAGGAAGGCATGTGGAATGGCAGAAGGAACAGCATGTGTAAAGGCGCATAAATGAGCATGGCTTGCCACAAATAGCTCAGTACTGCAGAAGGGTGGCATGTGGGGACAGAGGAAGAGAAGGTGTACATGCAGTTTTCAGAGACAAAGCGGAATAGACAGTGTCTCCAATCATGAATAGTTTCACAGGTCTTGCAAAAGAGTTTAGAGTTCACCCTGTAGGATTTGGGAATGGAGAGAGTATACGTTCAAATGGTAGGAAGATCAGTCTTGTTGTAGTGTTTAAGGTAAAATAGAGCTCAGGCTACAGTCAGAGTAGACCTGACAGAATTACAGAGTTCAGGCCATGGTTTCAAGGCCTAAACTAGTACACTTGTCAGGTGAAGAAAACGAGAAGATAAGAATCTCAAGATATTTAGAAAGCAGAATTGTTAGTGTTTTGTGGACAATTATATATCCAAGAATAAAGAAAATCAGGGTCAAGTGTATATTTCCTGGCATATGGGAGGCACTTAAATGTACTTGTTAAATTGGATAACTGGGCGGGTACAGGTACCACGCCGTTAAGTTTCAGAGAGAAAATAAACTAATTTCGGAGCCTCTTGGCCCTACAAGTCTGCAGAAGAACAGCCTTTCTGGGAGAAGTAGCTCAGAATCCCTTATTTTATAGGAAATAGGTGAAGTTCTTACATAGAAAAGACCCCCCCCTCCCCTTAAGAGAACAACAACAACAAAAAAAGAGCAGTCCACAAAGGACTATCTTTTGTCCTGACTACTTCACAAAGAAGTGATCAAATGAAAAAGTATTGGAGTTTAAAGTGAATCCCAGGTTCTTTATCTGGTTATATTCCCTCCGCCTGGCACCTACTAACGGAAATGTAGATTTAAGGAACTCACTCTCAAACTAGTGTGAGACTTTCAACCCTAAATGACCAACTTGTGAGACATCTTGAAAGCTAACTGGGCCCTCATGGCAGCTATGGCTACAGGATGCTAAAACATCAACTCAACAAGTAAAAAAGTCCACTTAGTCATGGCTGGCAGTTACAAACTCATGCCAACGGAGGGCAAGAGTTCACATCAGTGTGGTTAACGAGACAATATGCTCACACTCAGTTATTTTGTTTTTGGAAACACTGTGCCTGCCAATTAAAACGTTCAAACAAAACATCCATGGGCCTAACCAGTTTAAACCTCTGATCTTGATGTTTCTAAATCCTCTTTAACATGTTCTAGGTAAACATTGGGAAACTGCTTTAAAGTTTCCTGTTTTCATCTGTCATGCCGCGTCAGCCTAACGCATAGCGTGGACCAAGGATATTCACACACTGGTTCTTTGAAAGCCCGGTTTCCAGCATTCTTCTCTTCTCTTACTGTGTTAGTTTTCTAGGGCTGCCATGACAAAGTATTACAAACTGAGTAATAACAGCAACTTATTAAACAACAGCAATTTATTGTCTCACTATTCTAGATTCAAGAAGTCCAGAATCAAAGTGTCGGCAGGTTCCTCCTGAGGGCTGTGAGAAGCTGCAGGCCTCTCTCCTTGCCTGGTCCCGGACCATCTTGTCTCTTCGCCTCTTCACACGGGATTCTCCCTGTGCCTGTGTCCCTATGTTCAAATTTCTTTTTCTCACTAGGACACCAGACATTTTGGATTAGGACCCACTCTAGTGACTTCGTTTTAACTCAGTTATCTCTGTAAAGACCCCGTGTCCAAATAAGATCACTCTTTGAGGTACTGGGGCTTAGGCCTTCAATATAGGAAAAGGACACAATTCAACCTGTAACACTTACTTGATTAACTCAAAGCAGATATCATGAAGAAAAAGTTCTCCTCTTATTTTGGGAATGGAAATCAGAAGAGACCAGAAGATGTTCTCATGTTCACACCACAAGGAAGACAGAAGCAGAGAGTCCCACGGGCTAATCAAATTAGGTAAGGAAATGCTTACTAAACTCATGGGTATGACATTGAATTTTTCTTCCCAACTGACCTCTTTAAACTGTTCTTCTCTTCCTGAGAAAATGCTGCCTTCCCCTTCTTAAGCAGAGACATTTCCTCCACATTGTTACCACCCATTTCTACCCCCCACCGCACTCCCACCCACTTATCACCCCCTCTGATACCCCACTCTGAAGGGGGCCATGGCCTAACAGTTCAAAAGATCTAAATATGAGCATCTTCATTGGTCTTCAGAGTTTTTTACTTCTTTTTACCTCTTTTCCCAGAGCATTAGGAACCAGTATGACCCCAAAAATATGTAAACCCAAGTCCCAGATGCCTCCATCACATCACTCTGGCCTCAAAGACCCCACAAGGAGTCAAGAGCCACCACCATCTCAAAATGACAGAGATGCCTTCTTCACGGAAGAGAAACCACAAGCCCAAGAGAAAGATTCTCTGAATCCACCCAAGAGCAGAGACTCCAATAAGGGCATCTCTGTCCTATGTCAAGATCAAGAGGTTTCCACCAACACCATAGAACAAGGCCCTGGTTCCAGCCCAGCTGGTGACAGCAGAATGTCCCATGCCGATGAGACCAGATCACTAGATGTCAACCTAAAGCCAGGTGGGAATGCTGAGAAACAAACCCCTCCAAACCTCATGGAATGTGTAGGAAGCTTCGAAGGAGAGGTCACAAAGCCAGCCTTTTTAGAGCTGTTTGCAAGGGCCAAAAACGCCCACTATCTCCGGCATAGGGTCCCCCCTGAGTCTGAGAGGTTGCTTAGCGTTGGGGAAATATTTGGGCATGGCGAATCTTCATCGTCCAGGGGAGGAAGGGACTATGAAAACAGCGTGCCTTCTAAGTTCCTTCCTCTCTAACCATTTAACACAGCCTGACAACAACACATACCATTACCACTAAGGAAATGTGCTCTTCCAATGACTATAGTAAGCAATTCAGGGGGGAAAAAAACCAAACAAACAGAATTATATGACAATTTTATTTTAAACTCCCAATTTGTGTGTGTGTGTGTGTGTGTGTTTCCTTTTACAGAAAAAAAAATCTTTCTCTGAATGAGCAATGCTAATATATGAAAAATAAGGGGAGAAACAAATCTTCTGAAAATATTTTAAGTGATGCAATTGTGTTTATAATGCCATCAAAAATATGAATATGCATTGATAACTGGATTTTTCTTGAAGGGGAAATAATAAAGAGTCCTGCTTTCATTGCCTCCTGTTTTGTATAGGCGATTCTCATGGTGCCACCTGCTGGTAAAATGGCGTAGCTATTCTCTTTGTTTTAGTTTAATATACGGTGGTGGTAGGAACAGGAACTCAACTGTAAATATGTATCATAATATGATTTATAAAGAAAACCTGCCCTTTGCCATATCTGTTCACTCTGTGTGGAAATCCTTTCCTCCCTTCCTTCATTTCCAGGTAGCTCCATTTTAGTTTTCTCATTCCCACTTTCAACCTGCTCAATCTCTAGTTTTTTGGATCCTAATAAAAGAGTAATCAACAATCTGTTTCCTCTCATATGCTCTCGAATCAAAGGATTTCAAAAATTTTTATTTATCTCCCAATGCTCTATCAAACTCACATCATAATATATCAAGAACTACCTCACTATAAAATGAGAGGTAATGAACATCTTTAACAAGTTATTATTTCAAATAGGCCTCTATGACGTGGGCTACAAAATAAAGTGAATCCAGTAAACTGTTTCCCATTCAACTGGTCCAAATATCACACTAAAAATAAGTAGTACCATAAGTCATCAGAAAACAATATCTCATTGTTGATGCATCTTAAAGTTATTGTCCACCTAATGAACCATAAAATAAAATCATCAGTGCTTTTTATTATTTGATTATTATTTATCCTGACTCCATTAGGAAAACCAGCTTGTACCTATAAGTCCAAGGTCTTAAAGAAATCAGGCATCTACTAGTGTGTAAATTCAAATCTTCAACCCAACAGCAAATTTGAATTCTAGAAGAATAAACCTCAGGGCCTGTTTAATATCAGGCATCAACATTTAATGTAACCCAGCCTGGGATATTTTGAAGAAATAAGATTATTTCAATTAGCAATGATAAAGGACCCCAGACTGCTAATATTACAAATGGCCAGAAATGAAGATTCATTCACATTTAACTTCTTGTTAATTAAAAATGAATTAATTTCATGTAATAACACTTAATTTAATTCACATTTAAGTTTCCTCATGGTTAAAAATAACAATTCGTAATAGCTCCCATTGTTCAGTACCTCTTACCATCCTAATGCTTTCCACACGGTCCTCACAACAACTCTGCAAAATAGTTTCCTTAATCCCCATCGTAGAGATAAGGAAATTGAGGGCAGAGCAGTGGTAAAGTACTAGCAAATGACAGACTGATCCCTGGTCTGTTCAACTTCCTTGGTCACACTCTTTCCATCACACCACACTACCACCTATTTGAAGACAAAGGCTTGAGTCAATCATGTGAGAATTAGTTTTATTAGCCCAGCCTCAGTCTTCAATGGGGAGAGCATGCTTGATAGTGAAAAGAGCATAAGAAATCTGCTCCCTCCAGTGTTTTCTTCCATGAAGCAAAGCAACAAGGGAAGGCAGGGCATGGATGGCAAAACTAATTCATGACTTAGTTACACTAGACACGACTGGTACAGCAAGAATGGGGACACCCAAGCTCATTGCTATATGTTCTTTCTCCTTGTCTTCTACTCAAGCCTTGCCTGGAATCTCCATCACAATCTGCCTTCAAGGGGGAGTTTTCAGAATGATTTATTCGACTTCTAACAGGTCTTTTCACGACATGAACCACAGCAGGAGGAAGGGGCCACCCCAAGGCATCAGAGAGCTGGCCTATGTTGCAAGAGCACGTCACTCCTGCCATTACCAAAAGTGAACGTTCTGCCCCTCTTGGTTGTCTTGCGCTTATCTTCCTATACTTGATAGACCCAGATGTCTGTACTTCTAAATCCCATATTTAGTACATTCTATATCAAATCATATTTCATTCATTGCCACAGAATCGTACATTTAAAAACCTTCTAAACACATAGGTTTTATATTTTTGTCATTTAGTCTAACACATTTCCCCTCTTCAACCCAGTGGGTACGATACTCTGATTAGTACAACTTAACACAATCAAAGAGAAAGCTGCTACATGGGGCCTTTCTTGACTGACTCATTAAATTCTAAAGAACAGTTTAAATCCTTAATCCTCACAAAGCACATCGAGCTCTAGGCTGGCTTGTACTCAACCAATCTTAACGTCACTCGTTTATAGCAGCAAGTGGGAGCAAACATGTCCCCTGCTCCAAAAGACATCTGGAAATGTCCAGAGACATTCTCGGTTGTCACAGCTAAGAGGAGGGGGTTGCTACCGGACTGGGCTAGGTAGAGATCATAAATCCTATAATACCTGGGACAGCCCTCCAAAACAAAGAATTAACAAGCCCCAAATGTCAATAGTGCTCAGGTTGGAAACCCAAACCCATGCCATTGCATGAAATCTTCACCAAACCCCCTGAGATAGGAATTCAGTGAGATAATTGCCCCCCCCCCATTTTACAGAAAAGGAAACTGAGGCTTATAGTAAGTAAAATGGCTCTGTCCATGCCAGAATATGAATGAGGAACAAAGGACCAGTTACTGCTTTCAGTACTGTCTTTCTCTCAGACAGAATGAAGGATGATGCAATGTCCAATGGCTTTGGCCTCATTTTCAGAGTTGAACTACTTTTCAACTCTATAAATAAAAATCTTCAACATTAAAATTAATAACAAATGGTAACAAGGAAAAAATTTCATAATTCAATTTTTAGGAAAAAAGATATTTTTTATGACACTTATTTATTTATTCATTTATTCACAGATGTCCTGGGGAGAGATGATCTCTTCTCCATCTCCATCAAAGAGGCTTTCACTTTGTTACCTGAACCCATTCAATGGAGAGAAAAAATCCATTTTTTACCTGGAGATAGAAACATCTGGAAACTCTCAGAGGTGGGGACTCAGTCCTCACTCAGGGTCCCAAGGATCTGGAGGCTACTGTAGGGCACCCTGAAGGGTCCCACAATCCTCAATGTGGGGGTTGAGGCTGAGTAAGTTGTTACCAGTAACACTGGCAGGACCAGCTCCTCTGAGGGGGAAATGGCCTTGAAGGCAGGACAGAAGGACTCACGCTTGGGGGTGTATTGACCCACACCAAGGGCAGTGGAAGCTTAGGTCCAGTCCCAACAGATGTCAGCAGCCCTACAGCACCACTGACACCCAGAGTTAGGACCGTTGCCAAAAAAAGAAGCCAGAGATGTGCAGATTGCTGCATAAGCCAACACATTCCCTAACCTCCATGCACAAATAGGGGGGCAGGCATTGGACACTGAGGACAGGAGGAGGGAGATGGGGCAGCCAGGCCTCTCACTTCTGCCTGAAGCACCTGTAGTAGAACAGGAGCTCCACTGGGTGGGGAAGGAAGACTTAAAACTGGACAAGAACTATAAGTAATAATACCTTAATGTGGTTAAATGAATATATACCAGAAATAAAACTTTTAAAACAAAAAATGTATCTGGAAGTTGTTGGATCAGACTGAGATAATATTAAGCAAAGTTGGTAGCAGTTATTGAGGGGAAAAAAGATAACCATTCCATGTTCATACCTCAACAAGTTGAAATTTCTCAACCTAACCTATATAGAGAGGCACTGTGCCAGATCATATTGACTATAAAGAACACAGATATTTATTATACGGTCCTTATCTCAGATGTGGCTTGGGCTGTGGCCTACTTAAGATTTATAAGTAAAAATGTTTTACTTAATTAGGTGTAATATGAACTATTTACTATTTATGTAATATGTAATATGAACTATTTGCACCCTAACTTTCCCATCTTCCCACCATTATTATGAATATGTTGCTGTTATGTGTTCTAATATTAATAGTAGGCATCAATAAATTACAAATGGTAAATGAAATTTAATGTAATTAGTTAAATTATTTTTAACTGCTCAAGTTTAATTCCACTAAAGTTGTTCCATGAAATCGGTCATTGAAGAAGCCTTCCTGGTAAAAGGAAAACACATATAAATATACGAATGAAGACTCCAAACAACTTACATTTTGGTTGGAATCAAACTGGATACTAGCATGGACCCTCCCAACTCAAAATTATGATTAATAAAGTATTAGTTCCAAAATGTGTGATAAAGAGAAAATGTATGCAAGCTAGATGTAAAGATAATTTAATCACATAATTCACTACTGGCAAAATTTTTGAACATTCTTGCTGAGGACCACTTGCTCACAATGAGGTGAAAGAATGGAGACAAAGAGTGTAGACAAGATGTCCAAAAACAAAGGACAAATGCCAGGACTGCCAAACTAGGTGTTTCATACGTTTTACAGCTGTGGGGAGAGCAATAAGCAATGGGCAGGCATGGGCTTGCATGGCTGAGGCCCCAACCCATCTCCCTCTTAGCTTCCCCTTGAGCTCCAGCAAATATAAGCAGAATTATTAGTGATTACAACCATTATTTTGATATTATTAAATAAAAGTAGGTGTAATTTTGCAGAATATGTATAAGAATTCATATTTGAATGGTGTTTTTTTTCAGAGGATTTTCCCCTCTTTTTCCTTAGGGTACTGATTCACATAAACACTCAGACCCACAACACTCTTCTTAAAAATGGCTGTGGAAGAAAGGTGCCCCTGAGGTCTCAGATGGTGGTTCACTCCAAATGCTCACACCAACAACGTGGTAGCTCTCAGCATGCGGGTGGGAGGTGATCATGTTTCAGGAAACTAAGCATGAGTAGTGGCTCTAATATGTTTTTTAGACTTCAGCAAATTTTGGTCAAAATTCTTGGCAGTATCTTTATCCAGGTCCATCTGAAAATATTAGCAAAATTAAGTATAACTTGGATTCTAAAAATTAAAGAAAAATGAGATGAATGAGGTTTGGAATAAAAAGGAAGACATCTGACATAGTATATGCGAAGAGAATTAAAAGTAATGGACAGAAAGAGATCAGCAAGTTAGAGTTACTCTAGGAATATCTGGGAACTTAAGAACATGTTATCTCACAATACTAACTCCATCCCTTACCAAACCAACCAGAGTTCTCATAAACAGACAAACTGACAGGTCTGAGCTTTGCTGCCCCTATCCTCTTTGCCTCTGTAGCAGAAGCACTAACTACTGGTATCATGAACAAAGAGTAAAAAAAAAAAACTCCTGCATTAAAAACTCAACGAGAACCTCAATTCTAAAATCAAGACTTTTCCCTAATTATCCGAGCACCAATAAGATGACAAGCTTTTTCACATATTATAACAATTAATTTCCAAGGGAGATTCTTTCATTATTAAAAACAACCAACCATTAACACTGAGGCCAAGAATGAAAAAAAAAAAGAAATAAAAACAACCAACCAACCAACAACAGCAAACCCTATGCCTACTTTCCCTTTACTTCATCGTAAACCATCCAGAGATGGAAAGCAATTCACATTCAGGAGAATGTACTCTGGTCTAGAGTGACCAGAAACCCTCAGTAGAAGGTTCCACAGATCACCCTTACTTTATTATTTAATCCTAAATATCACTAAAAAACAAAACTGTATTTAGTAACAAATAACTATATCATTTATGGCCTTGGAGTTTTTCCATAGGATTTTGGAGTTGGTGGAGTTTTAGGGGTTAACTAGTTCAACCTCAGACCAAAGGTGTAAAGTGACTTCTTCAAAACAACTAGAAAATGAAAACGTTTGTTTTCAGTGAATTTCTCACCAATGAATTTTGGTTTGGAGTTGAGTTTGTTCATTCTACGGAAAGCCAATGCTTCCCCCTAGTGGTGAAGAGAGCAAGTCACCACCGAGGTGTCTCATCTCAAGTTTGCCATCTAATTTGTGGAATAAACAGACCCAAAAGTAAGTAATCCAGAGGGCCTAGAAATTAATTATTAGACTAATATAATTTCCCAAAGGCATTCCAAGAGATGCTGCCAAGTGCTATTGGAAAAAAGGAGTCTGGGTTAAAATAAGTTTGGGAAAATCTCAGTTAAACAACGAAAACAAATTTCTCTACCATGGGACTTCCCTAAGTCTTTAATATGTTCCTGTCACTGTGAATGTCCAGGGGAAAATTACATCATGCTGAATTCCCCCAAATGGTATGACCATGAACACTTTGTCCATAAATCATCTCTGGGGACAATGACAATCCACAAAGCACACTTTAGAAACACTTACCTGGAATAAAAACTAGATTAAGGTCAGCTTTTTATCTTACACAAGTCAAATAGTCCGCAAAAAATCTTGTAAATTCCCGAAGGCAATAGCAGGAACAACATCTTTTTCCTTCATTTTCCTTACCACATGGAAAGTAACCTTACCACATATGTGTATGTGTGTGTATTACCAAATAAACATGCATACACATATTCACAAGTGTGCACATGTACACACACAAATGCAGCAACAGCCTCACTCAAAAATATTTTGAGGCTAAAATGGTAGAAATAGTATGAAGCTGGAGAAATATTTGTGGCTGTTTCAGCTGCTTTACATACGTTATATGTGCTCTCAGGAGGTAGTCTTTGCTTTATTTGACAGACAAGAAATCCGAAGTGATGGGAATAAGACCACTGGGGCTTAAGGACCCCATTTCTGAGGCCATGAGAGGAGAGGAGGTAAAGGAATGCTTCACCTCTGAGCAGGAGCCAGAGATAAGAGCAGAAGTTAACTGCCTAGTTGGGGGACATTCCAGTGATCTGGGAGTACAGCAAAGCAGACTCCCACCTTAAAGCCTGAGGAGCCTCATGCCTAAAAAGCCACGGAGTGGCTTAACATGAAAGCCACTCACGGCTATAAAGGAAGATTGCAAACTGTCATCCCGGGAGAAGAGACCCAGGCTCCAATTCTTAAAAACACCAGGTTGAGTTCTTCCCTCCCCTTTCCTCAGTAGGATGCCTCAGTTAATGGGGAGCTAACCTCCCAATAAGAAGTACTACTCTCTTTGTTCCTCAATCGAATGGGCCACAGCTGCTGAGTTCTGTACATACCTTAAGGCGTAGTTATGCTTAGTAATGAGCTTTATGTTCCTGCTTCTATAGATAAAAGAGTAATTAGCTAAGACATCTTGTGATCAACTATTAGAGGAGACTTGAAACTTCTACACATTGTAACCCACAAGCTTTTCACGTGAAATCATTGTAATCAATCCCATGAAAAAGAGAATAAAAACAGATGCTAATTTTCAGTCAGTGACACCTGGCTCACAGGAATGCTGGTGGTCCCCTAATCTTCCCCGCACCCTTTCCCCTTACTTTTTGTGCCCATGTCTTTGTCTCTCCCATCTCTTGCCGCACACACTGCCCAGGGACCTGGTTATATTAGGGGGGATCACAAACTCCTGATACTGAAGTTTAGAGATTTCAACTTCAGAAGTCCAGCTGAACCCTGAACAGGCAGCAAGTACCAAGCCAGGATCAAGCCTATTTCTGTCTAGCTCCAAAGACCCTGTTCTCCCCCACAACATTGCACTGCCTTGTCTGCTTCCATGCAAAAGTTCAACAACAGCGTCAAAAATTGCTACTACCAAGCACTGTTCTAGGCAATCAGGGTATGAAGATAGATCTCAGAGTGTCTGATCTCAAGTTTGCCGTGTAGTGTAACAAACAGACCCCAAACAAAATTCAATTAAAACTGACATTGCAGTCATAATTGTTGGCTATTTGCTAACATCCATTCTACCCCAAGTGATTAAACAAAAGTCAGTCATGGTAATACTATTCTGCCTGCCAGTGACTTATTTGGGAAACTGTGTGTGACTCAATCCTTGCCAATTAGACACAAGGGGAAGTTTATCAAGGACTTCTGGGAAAGACATCCCCCTTCCTAAGAAATAGACACAGCAAAAATAGTTGTTTCCATGCTTCAGACACTGTCATGCCTGGATGTGACTTCCTGGATGTCACATCTGGATGATCTGCCACAGCCATCCAGCTCCAAGCCAAGGAGGGAGCACAGGAAATGTGAGCAATAGATAAAGCTGGAGAAGTGAGTAGAAGTCAGATGGTGAAAGGCTTTATACTGAGTATGACAACATAATTTATCCTGTAAACTGGCACACGTCTGAGAGTGAAAGGGAATGCTTAATAATAAATAAGCCGGGGCAACGGGCACAACATGGACCTACCTACTTACATACCATGCTAAGGAGTTTGGACTTTGCAATCTGGCTACTTCACAGCTTTTAAGGAAGAAAAGGTTATAGCAATAGGCTTCTTTCATCTGGGGCTCAGGCCAGACACAGACTATCTCATTTACATTGGTATTTCCTATTTCTCACTTAACTGGGTTAGTGGATGTATGTGTGGCTTTTAGACACATCTTTCTGGTGACAATGGAGAGAAGGGCTTCCTGCGGACAGAATGAGAGTCAGGGGATAAAACTGTTGTAGTGCTGGTCAATAAGAAAGAGGCTGAGAGACTCAGTGAGAACAGCGTAGTATAGATCAAGAGGAGGGGCAGATCAGAAAAATGTTTATTAACAGGAAAATAATTAAGAGCACCTGGTGATTGATTAGGTTTGAAGGGAGAAGGTAAGATGGGACTTAGGTTCCTGGCTTGGGCATCTGCATGAAAGATGAGGCAGTTTCCCAGGATTGGGAACACCGGAGGAGCAATGGTCCTCACCTCGTCTGGAAAGGCCTAGGCAACCAAACTCAGGGCTGTGGGACGCTAAGCTAATTGGACCTGCTGCATGGGCTTGTGTATGATGCTATTTTGAGGTAGAAAATAAATTGGTAGAAAGTAGTTTGGGGGTGGGGAGAACTGTATTAGTTTTCTCAATCTTTCTAGGAGAGATTAGTAATAGGACAAAAATCTGAGGGAACAGAATTCGTTGGTGGCCAGGAGTCTAGTGGAAACTGCCAAGAAGAAGGGATTGAGGGAAATACGCAATGTGTCTGAGGCATAGGACACATCAAGGAAATAAATGTGTGCCCTTGTTAGTGGGAGCCACTATGAGTCTGGATTTTTAGATCACTGCCATATTGCGGCTATAGTCACATCATTTTCTGTCTTCCAAGAATCAGTCTTTCTAACTCCCCCTCATTTTTGTCTCCTTGCTATTTTATCAGTTTTAATCCAGAATCACCCAGATTAAAGAGGCAGAATTGCATACGCCAGGTCAGCCACCCCTGCCCCTGGGTGCACTGCACTGGAGCACTGGCATGGGGGACACAGAGAGGGGTGCTATGAGGGTCTTGATTCATCAGATATCTACAAAGTCATTTTCCTATGCAAGATTTCATCCTAAGCACATTCTCTCACCTTCCCTTGAAACTGGAGATCTCCTCAGTTCAACATGTATTGTGTGTCCACAATGTGAAGGTGGAATATAAAAGAAAGCTTCTACTCCCCAGAATCTTCTAGTATTCTTTAATAGAAGTTGCACCACGCCTTTGCCTAAGAAATGATTGGGAAAGGGGAAGTGGTCCCAGAGCTCCAATATCCGTTGCCACTAGCTTCAAATAGAAGCTTTAGGCACCAGAGAAGACTGGAGCTGAGAGCTCCCAGTGAGATGCTCAGCCTGGGTCCCACTGCTCTAGTAAGTTCTGCCCCTGTAAGGAAAATTTCAGTCTACACAAAAGTTATGTTTGTGGCTTTTAGCTATTTTATTCCATATAAAGGCACTGCTTGGTCTTCAGCGAATTGTTAACCACCATAGCAATCTTCAGTATCTTATAAATTTCAATGATTTATTTTAATTATTGATAATTTATTTTAAGAACATATTTATTATCTGTAATCTTCATTTTAATTTATTTTAAATAACTATGATAAGCATAATAAACATTATATAATTATATGTTAATATATTACATTTAATTATATATTATCATTTTAATATCAATTTATTTTAATTTTAATTTCATCTATTTAAGTCAGGAATA